AGTTTGTCTGGTGTTTAGGGCAATGATCCAGATAGTTTTATCAGTACATGGGAACCATTCAAGCTTGAAGGGAAATCCCTGCAGCTGGCTGAGTCATAGAACTGTCATGACACCATGTGACTTTTTATAAAGACACAGAGAGTTAGAGGATGGATGTCTTAGTCACTGCTCTATTGCTGTGAAGAGACACTGGGGTAGCATGAATAATAACAACCCAGAGACAAATATTGGGGTTAAAGCTGAAGATCCGAGAAGCAAAGCAACCAGCTACTAGAGAGCTCTCACGTCTACCAATGCTCATACCGAAGGGGTGATGCACCGAACTTGAGGCTGCACTGCTCTCCACCAAACTATCTGAGCTCTGGCTCTTCCTGCCTTATATTCCTCTCTGGTGCTGGGATTCAAGGTGTGTGCCACCACTGCCTGGTCTCTATGGCTGGGGCTAGCTTTGCACTCTCATCTTCAGGCAAGCTTTATTTGTTAGATCATAAAATATCACCACACACCAGAACCAAGGCAGCCCTTATAATACATGCAGAACAATGCACCCAGATTGAGCTGATTTGTAGTTTTAAGAACAATGTGCATACATAAAATGGGGAAATGTGAGCTTAAGACTGTAAATGGTTGTCGCTCATGTACCAGAAACTTAAAGCATTGAAAACATGCCAACTACATTGTTTTAGAGCATTCAAAACCCCACTGAGGGGACTGAAGAGATGGCTCATTGATGCCTTAGTTACCTTTTACTGCTGTGTCAAAACACCATGACCAAGACAACTTATGAAAGAAAACATTTAATTTGAGGGTTCACAGTTCCAGAGGATTAGAGTTGATGACCATTATGGCAGAGAACATGGCCTCCAACAGGCAGCAATGACTCTGGAGCAGTAGCAGAGAACACATATCTGATTCACAAACACAAAGATGAGAAAGAAGTAACTAGGAATGACATGGGCTTTTGAAACCTCAAAGTCCCCTCCTACTCCCCCAACCCTGTTGACATACATTCTCTAACAAGGCCACACCTCCCAATCCTTCCCAGATGTCCCACCAACTGTGGATCAAGTACCCAAGACCATTCTCACTCAAGTCACTCCGGTGGGTATTAACACTTGCTGCACAAACATAAGGTCAGATCACTGCACCCATGTAAGAAGTTAGGCATGCCTGTGAGTGCACTTGTAAACCCAATATTGTAAGAGGCAGAGACAGGAAGGTTCCTGGGACCTGTTGGCTACCAGCTTAGCTCCAGTTTCAGTGAGACGTCCTGCCTCAAGAGAATAAGGAAGAAAATGTACGTGTACACACACCCACACATGCCCACTTACACACACACACACACACACACACACACACACACTCAAAATGAAAATAAAATTCCTGCTGTCCTAATGGTACAGGCCTAAAATCCTAGGTACCTGGATTGCCAAGGTAGGAAAATAGCCAGTTTAAAACCTGCTTGAACCACAGAATGAGTCCAAGGTCAGCCTGGGCGATTTAGACAGACCCTGACTGAGGAGTGGGGAGGCTGCAGCTCAGTGGTAGAAATTTGCCTAATATACCTGAGATGCCATTTCAGTCCCCAGCACTGGAAAAAAATCAGTCAGTTGTTAAAATTAACCCATTGTTAGTGTGAATACTGTATGACTGTGTGTGCAAAGAACTGTTCTACCATCACCACTATCTAGATGGGTTTTTAAAGATTTCTTTTTACATATAACTATTATCTACCATGTGTATGGGAGCCCCAGGAGACCAGAATGGGTATCAGATCCCTTGGAACTGGAGTCACAGGTACTTAGGAGTCACCCAATGTGAGTGCCAGGAGCTGAGCTGGGGCCTATAGAAACACTTTTAACCACTGAGCCATCTCTCCAGCCCCCACTATCTAATTTCATAATTTTTGAAAGTTTATACCAAAGCATTCCATGTGTGGTACCCCAGACTTATACTGCCCTGTACACTAATGAAAACAATTGCTACATTTTAAAGTAAGTTTTCTGGTTTTGCTATAAGTCCTTACTGATTTTATTTTTCCCTGATATAGAAATAATACCTGCTTGCAGGTTGTTGCTTGTAAGCTAAACTACGGATTTTTATTTTATTTCAATTTACTGGCTCTATTCTACTCAGTTCTGTTTCCTACCTCCCAAAGGCCAAGTCGTTCCATATAAACAGCTTGTCCTCCTGCCTCATGGCCCTGTCCCTTGGGAGAGTGTAAAGCATTTTATACCATTCCTCTGCAGGAACTAGCTCCTCATCTTTTAATTTTCATAATTTCTCTCCTCCCCTTTTCCTGTCATTGCCTCCCCAAAGCCAAGATTACAGGGAAAAGAGGGCTGGGCTACAGCCTTGGTTGGCGAAGGGGGAGCTTCTTGTTCTCTCTTCTCCTCATTAATCCCACAGCCCCACTTTACAGTTGAGTAAGCAATGAGGTCACAAGCCCGGAAGGGTCTTCTTGCCCCTGGTGGCTCACTTCCCTGCCTCTGGGACAATGCTGCCTTTGACTTTGGCCTTGCTTAAGCTGAGCTCTCACTCTGAAAGAACAGCTGTCAGGGAGGCAAAGGGAGAGGCTATGCAGAACTAGGGAAAACAGATAGGAAAACCACACCTTAGAAGGAGGAGTGTCAGTGAGGAGGCCTAGGTAATCTATTGAGCCTTGGGCAGCAGATCAGTACTCATCCCGAGTATACACACGGTCTTTGGACTCCCATCCAACAATGTGAGGTGCACTCTCACCCTGAACTCTTGGGGAAGGGTTAGGCCCTGCCCTGGATGAAATAACAGACTATGGACACCTGCATGGAGAGCCTCACCCTCCCTGGGGAAATGAGGGGATAATGGGGGGGTTGGGAGGAGGGCACGGGAGTAGGGGAGGGAAAGGAAGAGGGACCTGGAACTGACTTGTGAAGCAACCTTGTTTCTTATCTAAATTTAAACTGAAAAATAAATTTTAAAAAAGGAGGAAGCAACTGAGAATAGAGTAATGATGTCACTTCCTGTGCTGTTCCACCCCAAGGAAGCATGCCTCCAGAAGATGCCTTAGTAGGTGATATACTAGCCACACAAGAGTGAGGACTGTCTCTCTTTTTTAAATTTACTTTTTACATTCCGATCCCAGCTCCCCTTCCCTCCTCTCCTCCCGTTCCTCTCCCTCCTCCCCTCCTCCCATCTGCTCCACGGAGAGGGTGAGGCCTCCCCTAGGAAGTCTACTAAGTCTGTCCCATCATCTCATTGGGGCAGGACCAAGGCACCCCTCCACCTCCACACCCTGTGTCCAGGCTGGGCAAGGTATCTCTCCATGTAGAATGGGCTCCACTAAGTCAGTTTGTGCATTACTGTTAAGTCTTGAACCCACTGCCTCATATATTGTCCCAGTTACACCATTGTTGCCTGTATTAAAGGAGTCTGGTTCAGTCTTATGCAGATTTCCCATTTGTCAGACCTGAGTCGGTGATCTCTCACTGGCTCAGGTCAGCTGACTCTAAGTGTGGGGACTTTCACTGGGGCTCCAGAACCTACGTAAGACTGGATGCAGAAGGCACACTTGTAACCCTTGCCCCGTTTTTTGTTGTTTCTTTTGTTTTGTTTTCGTTCTTTCCAGACAGGGTTTCTTTGTGTAGCTTTGGCTGTCCTGGAACTAGCTCTGTAGATCAAGAGGAAGAATATTGTCTTAATGTAGAATCTACATTAAGTTTTCTTGATCGTGTTGGGGATTGAAACCAGAGCACTCTGCGTGGTAAAGAAATGCTTCGCCAAACTATATTAACAGAGTGTGAGCTTAGCCATGCCTGACAACCACCCAGAGACCTTTCTAATAAAATCAAAGTGCCCCAGCCTTACTGAGGACTTGTAAAATCAGAATAGCTGGGGTGAGGTGCCTGCTTTCACAGACCAGCAAAGAGATATGGCTGATGTCACAGGGATCATAGGCTCCCATGGAGGCTGTGCTTCCTGCCCACTCATTCTTATTCTAAATTCTGTTAAGGTGTGTATGTGTATGTGCATAACTAATCTGCATGTGGCTTTGCTCCTCTAGTCTGTCAGTAACATGTCAGCATGCCACCCCTAAGTAGTTATGGTCCTGAAGGATGAGGAAATGCTCAGGCTGACAAGCCACTAACCCTCCACCCCACCCCCATGTTTACCAGAGACTGAATTGCAGGTGCTGAAGGGACTTTTTTCCCTCCACAGGCTCCCAGCTGCCTCCCGTGGGCCCTTTGTGTCTATTTCCCCTTCGTTGGTCCTCATTACACCCACTCTTCCCATAGGAGAGCTCTCTCCTCTCCAACCCCACCTACCACACATGTGACTCCGCTGGAGAAGCACCTGGCTTGGGAAAAGCTCATTCCTCTTGTGGCCTCTCCCACATGGAGCTACATGGAGAGGTGAACCAGAGGTCTTCCCTGGTTACCCACCAACCTTCAGAGAGTACCCTGGAGGTCCTGCGGACTGTGCCAATACAGGGTGCTTTTCAAGGGATAAATATGCAAATGCATACCTCAATTTAATTTTGACATTGGAAAAGCAAGGAGACCGTCAGTGAGGAGCCAGATTAGTGAAGTGCCCAACCTGTGTGACAGGAGCAGTCACACTCAGGGGCATGCCTCTGACTGAGAGGTAGAGCCCCAAACAGAGGCTCAGAATCTTGGTTCCTTTATCCATTAGTCACGTGGCTGACAAAAAGTGAAGCTTCTCCAAGCGGAGGCATCCTCCGCCATAAGTCAGAGTCAGAAGTCATACATCAAATTCAATTAAAACAAAAGAAACTGCCTTAAAGGTAACTCTAAGAGTATTTTGAAAAGTTAAAAAACAATCTGGTTCACTGTCTTTTCAGACTGTTAAAATATTAACTGGTGCCATTAGCTTACCATCAGTAAAACGTAATTCATAGGCTCTTTCATTAGATCATAGTATTTGTTAACAGATGGATCCTTCAGGGTTGAGGAGAAAGGCGACCATTACCATTGACACCTGCCTCTGTCTCCCTCTTGCAGCTCTGGAAAGGAAGATATCGATGAGACAGAGCCGAGAGGAGCTGATCAAACGAGGGGTCTTGAAGGAAATCTATGATAAAGGTAAGAGGTTGTCTGTTGCCCGCAGGCCCAGCAGGGTGTACGTATTCATTTCTCCTTCTGCGTTTTGCCATCTGCATCGCTTTACCAGGGTCTGAGCACTTAACATCTGCTGATTCTGAAGGGAAGAAGGAATGGAGTAGAGGGTGCTAAAAACATCAATCCTGGATAAGAAGAAAGGACATAATGCTATCCAAACCAACACACACGCGAACACACACAGACACGCATGCGCACACACGTACACACACGTACAAAGATGTAGGTCATGCACTGGGGCAAATGCAATTGCCCATGTGTGAGCTCTGGGGTTTCCCAAAATAGATATTAAAAGGGCATAACCCAATAGGGTTTTCTTAGCAGAGTTTTTTTTTTCTCTCTGGGAACCTTGAAGTCTCTGTCTGCAATAGAAAGAAATATGAGATGGAAAGATTATAACCACACATCAGAGTTTTAAATGATATTGACAGAGGTGGAACTTCTCCATGGGCGTGTCCACAGGTGTTTGGTCATCTTTTGCTTGTGGTGTTATCCCCTTTCGATAAGAATGGCCACAGTGGTCCACACAGTAACAGGTCTTTGCTCCTGGCCCCTAGCAGCTCTGGTATTCGATGCTGAGCCTGCTTGCACAGTGCTCTTTCCCCACTCTCTCTTGGCTTCCTTTCCTTTCTCTTTCTCCTCTCCCTCTGCTTTCTCGAACTCTGCTGACACTTTCTGTCCAAGGGATGTGTGTGAGACAGCCAACTGCTGCTTCCAGTCCAGTTAGGACTCTGTGTCAGGTCTGTATGTTACTCCAGTTGGTGTTATTGGAGGAGCCAGATCATAAGATATTTGACATCATGGATTCACCCCAATTATCAAGGACTCCTATAAGTGGGGTGGGGCAGTCAGTTTGCTGTGATTTTTGTGTATCTCCTCCAAGCCCTTGTGGGTCCCAATATGTAATGGCAGCTTGTGTTTCTGAGTGCTGGTGTGCCTCTCTGTTTCAGCTGTTACACTGGGCCTTACTCCTTGACTTAGCTTGGGTTACCATTGCTATGATCAGACACCATGACCAAAGCAACTTGGGGAGGAGAAGGTTTATTCTGCTTCTGTTTCCACATTGCCGTTCATCATCTATGGAAGTCAGGACAGGAACTCAAGCAGGGCAGGATCCTGGAGGGAGGAGCTGATGCAGAGGCCGTGGAGGGTGCTGCTTACTGGATTGCTCCACATAACTTGCTCAGCCCACTTTCTTATAGAACCCAGGACCACCAGCCTAGGGATAGCACCATGCACAATAGGCTAAACTCTCCCCATCAATGACTAGTTAAGAAAATGGCCTGCAGGTTTTCCTACAGCCCGATCTTGTGGAGGCATTTTCTTAATTGAGGCTCATTCCTCTCAGATGACTTTAGCTTGTGTCAGTTGACATGAAACTATCCAACTATCTCCCCTGTGGCAGGTCACCTCATCCATTTTCATTATAGACCTTTTCAGCAGTATGCTTGAAACGTTTTACCACAGCACACATTGCCAGTCTGAAATGCAAGTAGAAAATGACACACACACCATACCTCTTATCCTGGTGACAAGAGACACAGGGTGTGTGGGGGGGGGTGGACACTAATCTTTCAAACTAGGCTAAGTACCTGAGCTTCCTGGGCCCTGAGTCCCCGAGGTGAGGTGCATTCTCCACTTCTACCTGGAAGAGGCTAAACAGCAGAACACATCTTTTCTCCAGGGGTGAAGATCCTTCATTTTGTCGCTTTTCTCCAAAGGCACACTTCATATATAGTTCCCAAACCCTGCCTTCATCAGCACACTTCACCATGAGTTCCTCTCCACATCCACTCCCCAGGAGAGGCTGCAGATGCCTGACCGGAGGTGTGGCGTTAGACAATGAGCAGTAGGTACTTGCTTAAACACTGCCCTCACAGCCCAAGCCCGTTCAGATGCCACTAAGCAGCTCTGCCGGCCTCCCCTCCCCCCTCCTGCAGCCTTGGTGTCTCTGTCTGTAAAATCTCAGGACAAGATGCACTGAAGCTGAGAACACTTTCCACTGTAACACTGATTATTTTTTATTACATCTAACTAGATTAAGGGGACTGTTGCCTACGTGGCTTCCTAACTTCATAAAAGAAGCTACAGATGGTTGAAGCAGAAATTATGCTTTGTTAGGGAAGAGGCAGAAGGCTGTGGGGATGGGGGTCTACCAGGGCCACATCAGTGGTCAGGAGTCAAGAGTGAGGGATGCCAGGGTCACAGATGTGTCTCCATGGGCAGATACAGGTTGACATACGAGACACACACTCAGTGAGTAACCAGCTTTGTGGAAAGGACCAGTCTAGCCTTCTGTTGCTGGGCGCAAGAACTTGACTTTAATTGTATCTTAGCACTGCCTTCTCATTCTGCTTGGTGACTAAATTTCCTCGCTGGCTATAAACTCCAGGACAGAGAAGTGTCAGAGGGTCACCTCCAGAGCCTCCAAGCTTCAAAGGATGTCAGATGGGAAAAAGACTCCCCAAATTGTTATTACCTCCATGATGGTAGAAAAAAAACAAAAGATAGAATGAGAAGCAGGCACGAAGACAGATAGAGAGAGAAAGAATATTAAAATTCTGACTATATGCACACATACCTACAAACACATATGCTCTTATGCATACACACGTGCAATTACTCCACTTAGGCATGGTGATACATGCCCATAATCTCAGCACTTAGGAAATAGAGATAAGAAGATTAGAAGTTCAAGACCAGCTTGGCTGTATAACTGATCTGCAAAAGACTTTCTCTGAAGGATAATAATAATAATTAATATTAATAATACACAAGATAATATCTCAACAACAACAATAATAGAGCATTGGGAGGAAGAGGCAGAAGCATCTATGCAAGTCTAAGGCCAGTCAGGACTCCATAGCAGTATCCTGACTCACCTATACCTATCAGATACAATTATAAGTCCACACTCAGCTACCTTCGTGGCTTTAGTCAAGTTTTGTAACTTCTATGTGCCTCTATTCTTTTAATCTCAAAGTGAGGGTAATATTGTTGGGGTATTGACTGCATGAGATAATATGAATTATAACCATGGTAAATGCACAAATCCTCAAGAAATGTTAATTTGCTCTCATTACCCTCTCCCTGTCACCATGTCTTATATTATTTCAAGCCCTTTCTATCCTCATAGATGATTATTGTGTTTTACTTTTACTAGTGAGACACAACACACACATACATGTCTACTCACCCACATTGGGAATTCACAACAGATCTCAATAACTACAAGTCTAACTTAGCAAACCCATGAGATTTTTGGAGTTCCTCGTAGAATGTGGGTGAGTGGTTACTTACTGGAGCAGGGATGACTCTGAGGCAGTTGTATCACTAAAAGCCCAGCCCAGAACATTATGGGTGATGACTCACAAAATCTGCATTTCTGGAGCTATCAAGACAGCTTCCAGGCAGCTGGACAGGTCAGAGACCTCTTCCAGGCAGCCGTCAGTCTCCTCACCCAAGGGTTGTTTACTCTTCCCATAATCTTGAGCTGTTTCCTGCTTCCATAACCTCGAGGAGGGTCTCCTGTGAATGCTGTAGGTTTCATCTTTCCCAGATGAGTGATGTGTGTTCACCCTCTGAGTCTCATGAATGCTCTGCCTCCTTGTTAGAGGAAGTGTTTCAGTTCAGAGGAAATGGCTGTAGAACACCAATATTGTCGGTAGACCCAGGAACCAGAAAGGATAGACATCTCAAGGGCTGACGGGTGGAGGAGGGGGGTTCAGCGGTGGGAGCTCTTGCTATGCAGGCATGAGGACCTGAGTTCAGATCCCCAGTACCCAGGTAAAAGTTTAGGTGTGGTCATGTACTCCTGTAACTTCAGCCCTGGAAGAAAAAGAGGAGAAACAGGGAAATCGTGGGGGCTTGCTGGCCAGTCAGCCTAGCCAAAGAAGAAAAAGAATACAAGCTCTACTTCTGGGAGGGACCCTGTCGGGGATAAGGCAGAGATTGACAGCACAAGATATTCCCCAGCCTCTCTAGCCTCCATTTGTGCATGCAAGGCATATTCATACATGTGTGTACATGAGCATGCGGGAGCACGCACATGTGCATACACACTTTAAAAAAAACTAGTCCTCTCAAATGTATCTGGAAATCGTTTCATGAAATGTGCTGGAAGTGAAGAGTTTTGTTATTCAATAACTTATACTTTTTTATTGGTTTTCCAGTGAATCCCATAATTCATCCTCCAAGCCAACTTCAGCTCAGAGTTTAAAAATCTAAGAGTCCCAGCTAGCACAAGGCCATTTGCAAAACAAACACTGGAAACTACAGAAAAGGGAACTTTTAGATTCTGTTACTGACATAGCAGTGAGGTAATGAAATTATAAGGTCTTTCCTTTCCATTTTCCAAATTTTCTATGGTGTGGCTGTAACTATTTTGTGACGGGAACTTTTAGATTCTGTTACTGACACAGCAGTGAGGTAATGAAATTATAAGGTCTTTCCCTTTCCATTTTCCAAATTTTCTATGGTGTGGCTGTAACCATTTTGTGCGATTGATATGACCCAGCAATACTCTAAATATTCATCAACTTGTTTCATGATGTGTGCATTTATGTTTGCTTGTGTGTGTGCACACACTCATGTTTATATTTGAATCTAGGTTCGACTTATGAATGACAGTTTGTGATTTCTGTCTGTTTTGATCTGACCCATTTTAGTTTACACAATGCTTTCCAGTTCTGTCCACTTTTCTGCAGGACAGAGGTAAAGGGGGTAATTGAACCGTGTGACATAGAAGCAAGTGAGGGACTATTTGGGAGAATGAAGGAGATGAGCAAGAAGGGGACTAGGGGAATGAGAAGTGGATTGAGGGATGAATAAGGATGATGTGTGGTATCACCTATATGTTAAAATGACATCTTAAATTCCATAACTTTGAATGCTAGCATGAAAATTAATAAAGAAATAAGTAGTAAGCCTGCTAAACTAACTACTAGTAGAAAATGCTATCTAGT